GGCAAATTTCTTTCTATACAAGTGACACTTGAACTGAGAAGAAGCTTGATGTAATTGAGGGACAAAAAGAAATTGAGTGTCACAGAAACACARGATGTGGTAGAGGAAAGATCAGGCATGGAACCATGAAAGTTAGCCTGTGTCAGATGGCGGCTGCAAAAATGATTGTGACTGGAATAATGGCAAAAATTATTTAAATGAGAAACATAGRAAAGAYRTTTCACTAGATACCTTGTCTTAGAAATGAAAGGTCTGTTCTTGACCCTCTTTATTTTCAAAGAGGTCACCCTCACAGATTTAAACCATGGAGAGAACACTTGGATTCCAACATTTGCTGCTTCGAACAACCGCTCAGAATCCTGCCTTCCTCTCTGGCCTCAGCAAAGCCTCTAGATAAGCTAACCGAATGCGTCATACAGAGGGTGATGGACTCTCACCAGTGGAAGGCAGCCTCAGTGCCTCCTTCTTAGGTAAATACTCTGCCCTGAATAAGTGACTGTTGAACTTGAAAATGCTTCACATGCAGTTATAAGCTTACACTAAGAAGCCTCCACACTCTGTCCTATTATCTCATGCAAAGAAAGGAGTTGAATGGACGTCTGCATGAACTCTGTGCTCTAATAGTTTCTCGKATTCCAACAAGCTCATTCCAATGTATCTCAACTAGATAATTTAATAATTTATATAAAAAGAAGGGAAACAAACTATATGATGATGGTGATGAGGATGACGTTGGGATGATGATGAACCAAAATAAAGTAAGCACACAGCTAAACTGGCATCAAACCCATCTTTCCATCGTTGTCTTTCCTCTGACTCCACCCATTAAAATTGTCCTCCAATCACATGTTGTCTTCCTCATTGCTCAAAATGTACAATTTTCYCCCAGAATATGCGCATCAACAAAGACATAGACATTTTCTTGGAAGTAGGAATGATAATTTGAACCTGTCCTTGCTTGACAGGTGATATCCCACGTGAYATGGTTTTATTTAAATATCCTGAAGATGCATTAATATTATTATGCAAATCACAGTAGAGTCTGAGGCATTCACCTGCCTCCTTTATCWCTGGTGAGAGGGAAAGAAGAACTGCTTTAGTGAGCACACAGTGAAATGATGCAGAGATTTCAGAGAAGAAATGGACTAAGACAATATTGGTTTATGTCAAAGTAAATATATTTTGGTCAGCATTGGTTAAAATATATTACATCCAGGCAGAAACAGAAACATCATTTATGAGGCTAGTGCCAAATGAAAATGCAATATTTCTTGGGGTATTTTGAAGCATTAAACCAAGACGGGTCCTTTCAGAGCAGGAAATCATGTGCTTACTAGTACATACACCTAAATCCTACTTTCAAGCATCTGAGAGGAAAGGGTAGAGTAAAAAACCCKAAAGGATGATTGATCAGAGCAGGAAGAGGTTGAGTGTGTTGAGGAAGACCAGTCCAATCTGAGGAGTACAGAAGAGCTTTCAAATGGGCAATCCTGGGAAACAACCATGAGAAGAAGGCATCTGAGTTCCATCTTGAAGGATCAATGGTGATGAACAAAGCAAAAAAAAAAGATATTGCCGGAAGATGAAAAGCAAAGGGTTTCCAAAGGGATCCATATCTCTGCCACAATAAGTCGTTTGAATAATATCCTATTTTCTTCAGAGGACAAGAAGCATATGTAAGAAGTAGAYAAGGAGTTTACGTGCAAGGCAAACCAATGTCACCAGAGTTGGTTTAGACTTGTTTTCCACTTCAAAATTCTCTTTTTGATCCAGGACTCTGATGTCATGTGAAGCTGATGTGCTGGATTCCTGGGGTCCTGGGTTTTGGCTCCCAGGGGAAARGCGGACTTGGATCTACCGGGAGACRGGATTTTCCAATTSGARCTGTGAGAAAAGAAGAGGATCTTAATCTTAAAGAAGGGGAATCACAGAGAAAGGGGGAAAGGGAAAAAAGATACASAGRATGAACAAAKAAWRAAWRAAAAAAAATCACACCTCTGCTTTTTACACCACAAGTGCAGTCCAAACAGCAGGACCAAGGTGAGGATGGCAGCCAAACACATCAGAAGCAGCAGGATGGTGTATCCACCTGGTTGGGATAAAACAAGCAGAGGGACCCATGAAATGCTCCTGATCCGCCGCAGGTTAGGCTTTGGTCATGGGGGCAGGGGGTTTCCTGGGGTTCTCACTGTGTTCTAGAGCCTGTATTTCAATSCCCCCCCCCAGTCTATGTCCATCATGTGCCCACCCCAGCCCTCTTCCACCAAATCAATCGTTTCTTTTTTCTTTAGTTACTCTAATTTCTGATTTCCAATTTCTTTAAATTTGCTTGCTATCACTCCTTCCCCTTCTTTATTTGGATTTTCCCACTTTTATCCTTCCCACACTTAGGATTTCTACCTAGTTCCCCAGTTCCTCACTGAAAATCCCTAGGGCTATTTTCTGTCGTTCCCCGCTGGGTCTCAGTTCTCTCACCCCAGTGAATGATTATATCATGGCTTCCCAGACTGCTGTGCTTCACCCTGCAGGCCAGGCCAGCTGCCTCCCGAGCGGCCACATTCAGAGTCACCCGAAGATACCACGTGCCATCAGCATTAGGCAGGAGGTCACCTCGCTGAGTGCCCCGTTGCTCCTGGTCGCCCCGCATCCACATCACCCACACGGGCTTTGGGTAGAAGCCAGAGACGTGGCACACCAGCAGCAGAYGGCCAGGCCCAGGACTGGGGCCACTGGACAGCCAGRCCTCAGGCTTCACTACACAGGGGGAAAGTGGGGAGAAATGGAAGTTTTGTGAGCACTTTGAGCTCGAGTTCAGGTATTGGGTGCCTTAGAAGTTTGAGTTATCACTTCTTTCATATTTTCTTGGGAAAACAATCCTGAAGCCAGGCATCTCTCCCTGGGACCTCTTATTGCGTGTTTCAACAAGATGATGAGAAAGGGCGAATCCAAACAAAGGAGTAAGAGCAATAGGAGTAGGAGGGGACTCACCTTGCCTCTCTAGCTCTGACTTCCCTGCTGCAAGGACGCCTGCCAGAAATCGAGGGCAAGTGCCATCAAGAAGGCTCTGCACTATTTCCTTGATATCTTCGTAGAGATTGAGCACCCGRCAGACGTTCTGGGCCCGACTCCCTCCTCTTGGAGATGGCTGCCAGGAACCCCCTTGGAAGCTCAGGAAGTCTGATCCCTGGTATGCTCCATTAAAGAAGCTCTCTGAGGCCTGCCCAGCATGCAGTCTACAACCTGATGAWGTCTGGAGCTCAAGGGGGTCTGAGGATGGACAGAAAAGAGAATCAATATGAACATAAAAAAAAAAATCCAGAGAGCCATGGAATTCAAAGGAGCAAATTGCTGGGGAATCCTATAGGAAACTAGAATTGAGATGCAAAATGGGAAGCAGATGTGTGGGAAGAAAATTGGAAGCTAATAAATGTATATTGGAATAATCATATTGGAATAATTGATAGGGRAGGCATAGAAGACAGGAGACCGGTCTGGGAAAACTCATGGAGGAGTGGTGAGGTCAAGGTCAGGCCATGTGAACACTCAGTCCAATGACAGAGGGGCAGAACGTGAGGGTGTGTCCAGGGGTGGGAAGAGAGAAGCTCAGGCGGGCCCTGCTGTGCATATGGCAGGATGGGGGTGGTGAAGGGTGAAGCAGAGAAGTGAGTGTGAGCCAAAGTGAGGCAGGGAGCAAGGTCAGGAAGGGTTAAGATGGTAGAATCTGGTCCACCCCACCCCCCACCCCACCCCCGCCACTTTGATGATGGCCAGAGAGCCCAGACAGAAGTCGAGTTGGAACACCAAACTCACATTCAAACTGGAACTGACTAGAAAAGGCTTGCACGACCCTGATGAAACCGTGGAAGTACATCTGTAACAGTGACTGAAGACTCTTCACCTCCTCCTTGCTGCAGTTTCCAAGGGACCAGGGCTTCAGGTCCTTGAGGGAGCCTAAGACCTTGTCCCAGCCYAGAATTTCCAGGTCACCCAGCCAGCCGGAGGCCTGGGTGCTGGCCCAGCTGTGGTTGGCAAAGGAGGAGATGTGGACTAGGCGGAAGGAGAGGGGCTCTTCTGCTGCTGCATGATGTGGTCCTAGAGCCTGGGGAGCTGAAAGGGAGGAGAGTGGTCGGTGGAGAGAAGAGATAATGCAGGAAGAAGAGGAATTCAGGGTGGAAAGAAAGAATGCAGATAGTTACAGTTTTCAAATATCCCAATACCCTCTATTCCCTAATCCAGGCCCCTATTGCTAAAATCAGAGACAGAAACTGAGATGAGAAGCAAGAATTCTCTCCCAGGATGCAGTCTGGAGTGTAGACTCCAAGGGCAGATTGTAAGAGAATTGCCTCCTTCGGGCAGATTCTCCAAGGGCTTTCTCCCCTGTGCCTGACCACAAATATCTTTTCTCCTGAGCTCTTCTTACCAGTTGTGCTTTTCCCATGGCAGAGAAGTCCCTCGAAGAGGAGAAGGAGCAAGAGCAGCATTTGGAGCTTTGATGTCTTGGCCAGGAAGCTCTCTTCAGAAGTCAGATATATGCTGCCCTCCCCACACCTTCTCCTACTCTCCTCTGTCTCTCTGTGGCACAGACTAACCTCTGCCTCTACCCACTTCCCTATCAGAAAATCCTCTCTTGCCTTGCTCAGCCACAGCCTCCCATAAGGTCTCTCATTTCCCTCTCTCTCCCCCACTGTTGGCTTCCAAGTTTCTCCTCTCTTACCTGCATTCTCCTGACCTCTCCTATTGCACCAACTGCACAAATCCCGGAGTCTTGGATTTGGACAAAGTCTGTAGTCTGTCATATGGCTACAAAAGTCAATGGCATTTGGCCTTAGAGAAATCTAGTTCACCAGAGTTGTCATCTGCAAAAGGAAGTGGTGGAAGTCACTCAGATGGTGCACAATAACCTTCCTGCAATCTTCCCTTTGCTTATCTATCTGGGGTCTTCTCCTCCTCCTCACCTTTTCTCCCTTTTATTGGTTCTCTCTGTCTTTCTCTACCTGAGTATTATTTTTGCCTCTGTATGTTTATTTTTACTCTGTATGATTATAATCCACAAACTTCTTTCTTGGAATGACATGTTTGCTGGGGTAGTATCCTACTCTGAAAATAGGCACTGTGCTTGCAAGAGAAACTAAGATAGATGAACTTCCAAGAGAAACTCCTTTATTCTTTTTTTAAAAAATATTTTTAGTTGTATATGGACACAATGATTTATTTTATTTATTTAGTTTTTTTTTTTTTTTTTTTTATGTGGTGGTGGGGATCCAACCCAGGGCCTCACACATACTGGGCAAGTGCTCTACCATTGAGCTACAACCCCAGCCAGAGAAACTCCTTTATTCTTGCTGAAAGTTGAAAGAGCAAGTGCATCATGTTTCCAAAAGAGTGGGGCTTGTTGTGAATGACAGCTTCTTATTTCYGCAGAAAATTCAGGTTACTGTGACATATTTATTTTAAGTATCATCAGAAAAATTTGAACCATCCTACATATTTTTACTAACGATATCAAAAGGGGTATATGCCATACAACATGATAAAATCTATTAGGAAGCTGATGYTGCAACAGATGTAAATGTAGAGGGAAGTCAGTGCTAGAATTTAGGGAACAAAGAAAGAGTCAGTACAAGAGAAATGAGTAAACCTTGACTATGAAAGATTATTCATGCAACACTGGAGAATTGTGCTTTGTGTTTTTTTTTTTTCATGAAAGTGAAAGATGCTAAACATAGAGTGATGTGGTAAAATGGCATTTAGGAAAACTGCCTAGATCCCAGTTGGATTAACTGGAGGATGCATCAGAGTGGTAACACGAAGATGGCAGAGGACCATCGTGATCGGAATAAAGGCAACAGAAGTGAGAAGTGAGAGGAGTGAAAATAGCAAAGATAATGCAGACTTAAGAATTGTGACTGGGATGAAATGATATGGGGCCACACAGCTAGAGAACACAGGTGTTATACGGACAAAATTCAGATGCACAGTTCAATGCGTATTGTGTTATTGTGGGTCGTGTTGGAATTCAGGCTGTACTTGGAGGAATTTAGATGATTCACGTTATGTGGGTTGTTGCAAGGGGTGTTATGAATTAGAACCTCCCAAGCCTGAGGTGGCACAGAAAAAAAGACTTTCCCCATCTCTTTCAAATTATATCTTAAACTTACTTTAAGAATGTCATCATCTATGCTTTGGGAAATAATCAAGTATCTTGAAATGTGTTCATTTATACATTCTTTGAATCATTATAAATGTTCATTGAGTGCTTACTATATGCCAGGCATTTTACTTAGAACTAAAAAATATAATGGTAGTTCAAATTAACAGTGGGGAGAATATATAGTCCTTGTGCTGGTACAGTTCAGCATGGAGAGAAGAAACCATAGAGAGGAATATAGGACCATAATTGTGTAAGCACCAAATCTGGAAGCATGCAGTACTTTTACAACAAATGATAAGAGAAATATACAATGGGGCTGTGGATGTGGCTCAAGCGGTAGCACGCTCGCCTAGCACGCATGCGTCCCGGGTTCGATCCTCAGCACCACATACAAAAAAAAGATGTTGTGTCTGCTGAAAACTAAACAATAAATATTTAAAAAATTCTCTCTCTCTCTCTCTCTTAACAAAAAAGAAAAGAAATAGACAAGATCAAGGAACAGTTTCCAGAACACAGTGACAGACCTGGGTCCAAGGGAATATTAAAAGTTAACTTGGAAAGAGAATCCATTACATGAAAAAACTATGCAATTATGGGGAATATCTTCCATCTGAGGAACTGAAAAAGTTGCAATTCACTTGTATTTCACAACAAAACTTCTCAACCATTAAAATGTACTTCTCTGTTTTAATCATGTCTTTTCTTGAGAAAATGGAAAAAAAAATAAATTCAGACATGATCACCCACTGGATCTCAGAGCATACCCTAGCAACAGTTATATCATGTTCACATTCAAGTGACAAGTTCAGAAGACTGGTCATCTGATCTTGACCCAGTCTGCCCACAGTGGCCTGCCACATCTGCAATTTTCAAAATCAGTAGTAGGCATTTTAGATCTCATTATTCTATCAGTTCATTGCATTGTAAGTTTCCTTTGTGCTTGTCAACCATCATTTTCAGAGAGACAGCTTCTCCAGTAAACTCTGGGTGGTCCGGGTCTTCCTTCTGCCTGCTACATGTTAGGCGGAAGTGAGCTCAAGTAGAACACCTCACTTCTGCTACACCACCACCTGTTAGGCCCCTGAGGTCCCTTTGAACATCCAACGAGCCTCTTCTAAAGTTCTTTGATTCTGCACGACAGTGCATCTTCAGAGAAGTGGGAACATTCACAGTGCATGCTAAGACCATGCAGTTGGAAGAGTTGTTGCTGTAATTTTATTGTAGAAAATTTCCAGAATGATGGAATAAGGAGCTTGGCTGACCATCTCCACCTAAAACAGTGATAAAACTATAAAACTGTGATCACACTATTAAAAAACAATCACTTGAGGATCTGGAAAGGAATCAAAGGTATGCAACTAGTTGAGAAGTGCTGATTCTAGAAAACAATTGAGCCTAGGTAAGCACAGTTGTAAGCCCATCTCTTTCCCATATACAGTACCTTCATTGCTTTGTACCAGGGCAAGGAAAGAAAGAAAGAAAAAGCATCTTTGCTGGATGTGGCTAACTTGATTTAGAGTRCAGTAGGAGGAAAAACAAGAAACCCAACATTATTACCAAAAACAATAACAAACTCCATGGCAAACAAATGGGAAAAGTTTGCTTCCCAGTGGGCTTGAGGGTGTAGTATTGAACGAGGTGAGCAGAATACTGTGAAAGAGGTGAGGAGAGTACCTGCAGACCAGCCAGAAAATCTTGAGAGGCATACTGTGAATAAGATTATCAATTGGACCTGAGTAGCCCCCACGTGTTCCTGGCAGTCTGGAAGAATGCCCACAGGTACACAGCTGCAAGCATGCTCAAAGAGATCATAAATGACCATCATTTGCTTTCTGCAGGTCCCTGCAGGAGTGTGAGGCTTGTGTACAGGCTAGAAGGAAACAGAAATAAAGTGGAGCAAAAAGGAAAAGTCAGCACTGACTTGCAAACTTCCAGAGCTTGCAGTAGACTTCCCAGCCTGAGGGAAAAATCCAATGGCAAAGGGCAGAAGCCTTAACAGCTCAAAATGCTTGAACAGAATCTTGGACCAAACACAGAGCCACACTATGCTGTGTTGACATAGAAGTGACCTGTAAGGAATTGGACTTAAGAAGAAAAAAAAAAATAAAACAATTTTTACAACTCAGAAGAAGAAATAACAGCACCTGGTACCATTCTGAACAGGAGATGATACTATTGAAGAATCAGACTAAATACATGATCTGCAGATGCATTATTTTTTCAGCAATAAAAGATGCATGAAAATGAAGAGGCACATAATACTGTACATGGGGGCAGGGAAGAAGTCAACAGAAAAAGCATTTGATGTTGCTTAAATGTTGAGCTTAGCAGAAAGATCCCAAATCTCCTATGAAATATTATCACTGACCAAAGCCCATATTGAAGAATTAAAATAAAGTACAACAACAATGAGAAGAATAATGGAGAATACAATTAAAGAGAGAGAAATAATTTTTTAAAGGTAAACGGAAATTCTGGAGTCTAAAAGTACAATAAATTTCCGTTAGGTACAAGATAAATATACAAAAAATTATATATTATTATATTATATATTATAATAAGTCTTGCAAAAATGAAATGGGAAAGTGATTTTATTCACTAAATGRTCAAAAAGAATAAAATATCTAAGAACAAATTTAACCAAGGAAATACAAAGTAGGTACATTGAAAACTATACAATAATGCCAAGAGAAATTAAATATCTAAATAAGTAGTGATATATTATTATATATTACTAATATGCAAAATAAAGATAAGAAATAAAATGAACCACATAATACTTAAATTCATTTATATATACATATATTATAAACAACTCATCTTGCACTTGTGCAAATAAAGCTGATTTTCTGGGCTTTTTTTTTGCTTGATATCACTTTGAATAGATAAGGTTCAAAGGAAAATTCTATAGTATAATATTGGTGTGTTTATTTAGCATGATTTATCTACATAAACCACTTAATTTTTATTTTTAATTTCTATTCCTTAATATGTTCTAAAAGACAAAATTCATGCCCACACCATCTTTCTTACACCATTCATATTATTTACTCATTGACAATCCAGCAGCACCTGTCTTATTCTTAAATTTGATGTTAAATATTCCAAATTTTTGTAATTAATTTATTTCCAACTTGAATTTTGTTTTCTATACTTTGGCTGTAGTGACACCAAATGATATGATCAGCTCCCTTTTATTCCAGGTTGATAAAGTGTCCCCCCCATCAGTTAATACTTGATTATACTGAGGGCATTATTAACTAATAATGAAAAACCCAATGGTTAATTTTTTTCCTTTTAACCTCATAATATAAACAGTTAMATTAATTGACTTTATCTTAAAAAGTAAAATGCCCATCCATGCCCATCCTTATAATTATTATGTAATAATCCTACATATTTATGGGGTATAGTGTGATATTTGAATAAATGTATGCAATGTATAATGATCAAAATCAAGATAATTAATATTTTTAACTCATTTCCGTTTCATTATGTTGTGAGACTTCAAGTTCCTCTCTTTTACTTCTTCATAAAATATGTAACGCCTATTGTGAACTAAAGTCACTCTATTTTCTATAGAACACTARGACTTTATTCTCCTACCTAAGTTTTGGTGCCCAGTGTATGTCAGACAGGGATATTTTTAATTTCACGGTTGCCCTGCTTGGTTTCAGTCTTGCTCTGAGATGATCCCTACTTCTATTGTCTTATCTTCCCCTTTTAAAATAGAAACATTTGATTGGTGCCTGCCTCACATTGTATCCTGAAAGTGTGTAACTTTTTGAAAAAACAGGGGCTTACATTAAATTTGCCTTGAGTCTCAGAGGAGAGTTTGGACTTGGACTATTGAGCAATGTGAGAACAGTTAACTTAGGGACTCTTAGTGATAGAAAGAATGGATTTTGCTCTATGAGATATATAAATCTTGGGGATCAGGGGCAAAAATACGATGGCTTTAATATGAATGTTGTCCCCCAAAAGACCATGTGTTAAAGGATCCGTCCCCCAGTTGGCTCAATTAGCTCAATTAGAAGGTGCTCTGAGTCTTCATGAGGTAGGGCTTTATAGGGGGTTCTTTATCAATTGGGGTATACCCCAAGGTTGATCAAGRGATCCATGCCCATCCTCYGTCTCTGYTCTCTTTYTCCCTCCCCACCCYSCTCTCTTTCTGCTTCCTGACCCATGATGTAAAATGTTTGCTATGACATGAACATTGCCTTAAGATACCCTCACAGTCTCACAGAAGCCAAAAAGCAAAGGAGCTGCCCAATTGTTAGCTGGAGCCCCAGAAATATGAACTAAATAACCTCTTTACCATATTTATAACTGTCTTAGGCATTTCACTTTAGTGGTAGAAAATTGAATGATACAGTAATCAAATTAAAAATGTTAAGCAGTTATTATCCATGTTGTTCTGTTTTTCAATAATGGTTATGTGTCCAGTCCACAAACAAACCAGACACCCCCCCTCACGTCTAAATTTTCAAAACAGACACCATTTAGCTCCATCAGGAACCCAACAAAACTGCATGATAACTGCAATGTTTCTGCTAAGGACTTTTGGGATGGATTGCTACAACATACGACTCTTCTCCATCCACACTATCTACACTGTGATTTATTATATTCAATGGCTAAAGATTCTTTGCACTATTAGTGAAGTACACAGTAGGATGGTGTGGCCATTGCATAAACCTRGTTTCTCACTACCAGAAGTGTCACTGTTCTGATCAACTCTAGGCAAGGCAGGTGACACAATTCAACAGGTTCAAAAAGCTACCCAATGTAAAATATTTGAGTAACAGAGATAATACTAAATTTCATACTTTAAATTTTCCATCCTAGTCAATTCAACATAATGAATATTGATTTAAAATTTAAAATTTTCATTCTACYACTTCACTCCAGGATTTTTAAATAAGCATAGTTTTTTAGCTTAAATCATAGAGTGTATGCTCTCTTTCATGTGGTACCTACATCCCTTTTCTAACAGTGGGTAAAAAGCCCTAAGTTTCTATTTTCCCAAAATGTTACCCAAAAATAAGAATTGAAACAAGAATAAAATAAGAAGTAAGAAAAGATGAATCCTAACCAATTTTATTGACTTTTAAAATATCACTGGACTTTTACTTATGGGAATGGTGGATTATGTTATTTAGGCTAAGCTATTCTCCAGAGTACAACTACTTATAGGCTGAAAAATTCTACCTGATGACATCTGAGAGCTATTAACACAGTGAGGAATTACAGGGCCCCGAGCCAGGAAAGGAAAGAAGTCTTGCGAGGAGGCAGAGCYCAGGGTCTGGAGCCACATTTCCTTCACTTACAGACACCTACAAATTCTAAAGACACAAGAGGCTGAGCAGAACATTTCACAGGCTTGTGGGGCCAGGGAACAAAAGTTAGGATTCTGTGGGTGCAGAGGAAGAGAATTCCTGGTAAACACCACAGGCTTTGGTTTGAAATTCTAAAGCCTACATCGTCAATCTCTCTACCCCAGGATAAAGTAAATCATAAGTAGGAAAAAAGAAAATGGAGCATCTGTGGTTAAAATCCAGATTTGAATATTGCATTACTGATCTGATTCAGATCAACAAGCATTGCTAGTCCTGAACTCTAACTGTGAAGTGGAGTAATAAAAAGGATAAAAGAATCAAAGTCAAGATTACCACATTGTAGGCAAAATTTATTTTGAAAGTTAAATTTATGTGTGCTGTAAATTCAAATACACAACCATCATAGGACACAGGAAGTGGATAAATGATAATAAAATATTCCAAAGTAACTAAACTAGCAAAGTGGTAAAATATTAACTAATTTTAGGAAGTAAATAACATCGCATCGATGGAAATAATAACGTTGAGATGATGGAAAAAGACAAATAAAAACACTAACCCTGAGGAACCTGATCAGGCCCTACTCAGTCCTGAAAACATGACCTCACTGGCATGGAAACATTAAAATAAGAAACACCAGGAAGATGTAGCATTTGTAAATATTTAGGCAGATGATATGACATTCTCTGAATTATGAATCCAATGATATTATATAAAAAAGATATTAAAAGTGTATAATTTTGGTGAGAATTTTATTCACATACCTATGTGAATGATAGAAAAAGTAAATTGCTGAATATGTATTAGATGTGCACAACACAATTAATAAAAGTGACCTAACTGATGTATTTAGAATTCAATTTTTTAACACCAGAACCAGAATTCTCTTCCAATAAACATGGAAATGATGTTTATACAGAAAACAGTGTGAAAAAATTTCAAAAGAGTSAAAACACACAAAATATTTTTGCTGACACAATGGAATTCAGTCAAGACAATGCTATTCCTGGCAAATCCTCACCCTACCTGGAAATTTAGAAATACAATTGTACATGTCATAATGAATAATTAGAAAATATATTGAACTGACAAAGAATGCAGCATATCAAGCTGACTGACAAGCACTAAAGCCCTGTTTAATGGAATTTTTAGCCTTTAAATAAAGTAAATGTGGGAGAATGAGCTACCTATGAATTTCCACCAAGACATAAGAACAAGGAAAGCAAATTAAACCTGAAATATGTAGAAGAAAAACAATGAAAATAAATTGCACAATTTGGGTGACTTGTACAAAATATTTGAAACTTATCAAACCTAATAAAAAGTAAATTCTGAAAACACAATAAGAAGACCTAGAAAGATTCTTAAAAACTTGCCACAAAACAGTCTAGATGCCCTTTGACACACACACACACACAAACACACACACACAAACACACACATACAGTGAAATATTACTCAGCCTTAAAGAAGAATTAAATTATGGCATTCACAGGTAAATGGATGGAGTTGGAGAATATTATGCTAAGTGAAGTAAGCGAATCCCCCCAAAACAAATGCCAAATGTGTTCTCTGATAAGTGGATGCTGATCYATAATGGGGGAGGGAAGGAAAGAATGGGAAAACTTTAGATTAAGCAGAGGGAGGGAATGTGTTGGGGAGAAGATTGTGGAATGAGGTGGAGATTATTATCCCTATGTATGGATATGATTGCACAGAAGGTGGAACCCTACATCATGTTCAACCAGAGAAATGAAAAGTTTTGCTCCATTTGGGTAAAAAATAAAATTAAATTAATAAAAAGTATAACTGGCCACAAACCCCAGTTCGGGAAGCTGAGGTAGGAGGATCACAAGTTCGAAGCAAGCTTCAGCAATTTAATGAGGCCCTAAGTAATTTAGGGAGACCCAGACCCCAAAAGCAGGGGGAGGGTGCTGGGGATGTGCCTCTTGGTTTCAAACTCTGATAAAAAAAATGGTCACAAAATTTGATACTTTTCTATTAAAGAAACAAACAATCTCCCAACACATGACTGTCAGGAGTCCAGCAGGGATCCAGGGGTCCTGAAGGATGAGTGGCATCTGCAAAAGAAGAGACAGGATGACAGGTTGCAGGTTATGAGCAGCCTCCAGAGATCTGCCACCCCTGGAGGGCCCTTTACTTTTATACCTAAAACTAAAGGTGTTTTTTCAGGTAGTTAATGGATAGCCTCAAAGCCAAAAACTTCTTTGATTTACATGATTTTCAAGAGTTACAATCTTTTCTGACATATAATGATTAACTAAGATGTTGAGTACCTTGTTTAAGATATTTTCCTATAACCTTTGCCAATCATGATTAAGCTTTTACATTTTCACCTCAATCACTATGCAACTAGACTATGTCTCCTGACTTACTATTAATGTTTTAACTTTAAAGCATCCCTATAATTATATGTTAACTTTAAAGCATCCCTATAATTATATGTTAACTTTAAAGCATCCCTATGGTTATTGGAAAGCTTTCTTACTTCTAAACTAAAGTCCCAATCAAACACACTTAAAATAGTGAAAGTTTATTACTTAAAAGGCTACTACTCTTAAGTGCCTCTAAAATATATCTATGTTAATTCTACATTAATTTCCAAGGTAATTTCCTTTTCTTCATTTGACCCATTTAACTCCTTTCTTACAGAGTTTCCTTGATCCTTGGTCAAAGCACACCAATTCTTATGTCTTTGTGATCTTTAACTAAAGGGCAGGCTCCTCACCTCAACCCATTTGCCATCGATATTAACTATGTGTTTCCCATTCTCATCATGAATTCCTGTGTAAGGCAAAGGGGGGTCTGCTGGTGGGGGGAGTGTATGTTGCACAGGTTGTGACTTTAGAATGGGGGGCTTCGTGTAAATTGTTAAGCTTTTCTCAGGAACCTTGATTTGCAATCTTTTCCCCATGAATTTCTTGAGAAATAATAACACTATTGTTTGTATCCTGATATTGAACACACCTTGGGGCATGTCTTAATTGTATCCTTAGTCTTATTCTGGGAATTTTCCTGCAACCAAAGGCAATACATACTTTTATTATTCACTGACGTATGCCCTACTCTCCATAACATGAGTATCATAGACAAAACACTTAACATTCTCCATGGTTCCAGTTCCCTACCTCAGCATCCGCCACCCTGTGACCCTGTCAGACAGTAGGTGCAGGAATGCCTTCACCACGTGTGAATTCACTCCACTACTGAATTCTGCTAAATCTACACAAAAAATGTAAATGAAAATAAGCACAAACAAAATGTCACTCACTCTGGAAAAAAACAAAGAACCATTTTTAATCTCATCTTGTGTAGTCAAAAAAAATCCAAAATCTGAACAGAACACTCTAAGAATTAAGTGAACATAAATGTAAAACCCAAAACAAAACATTTAAAAAACTGAAGCCATGTGCATATATTACATGCAAAACAGGTAAGTTAGGGACACATAATTTTGTTCTGCCATTTGAAGATCATTAAGTGTATGTCACATAAAAATATATAAAACTCTCAACAAATTCAGAATATGTTTCTGATGAATGATGAAATATGGGTGGGTACTACCTTTGATAGCATCTCAAAATAAATTCACAGTTCTTAATTGTTTTTCTGCTTGTATATAAATTATATATATGGGGAAATGCTTTGATCAACATCAATGCTAACTTGATGAAATGTATCAAGGTTGACTTCTGGGATGGCATCCTAAGTTTCTGAACTTCTGGGCACTTATTTCAGATGGGAGAGAAGACATGATGAGAGCTCACTGGATGTCCTGATACGACCTGTCAAGAAAGCCAGAGCAAAAAGCCAGTTGTATCTAAGACATGTGTGTGTGTCTTCACTTATAGGAGAACTATTCACCATAGCCAAAAGTGGAAATGGTCCAACATCCAGTAATGAATAAATGACTGAAAAAATGTGTTGTCTACACATGGAATGGAATGATCTGAAATATTATGCCTCCTAAAGAAAGAAGGAAATTCTGATAGGCTACAACAGAATTGAACACTTATTGCTAAGTGAGATAAACCAGTAACAAAATGACAAATACTGTATGTTTCAGATTGGAAGAGTTACACAGGGTGGTCAAATTCCAAGAGATGGAAAGTAGAAGGGCCACCAGCCAGCCAGCGGGGAGGAAGGGAACAGAGAAGTGGTTTTTCTTTTTTCTCTTTTTACACCTTTATTTTATTTCTTTATTTTTATGTAGTGGTGAGGATCGAACACAGCACCTCACATGGGTTGGTGAGCCCTCTACCASTGAGCCACAACCCCGGCCCAAGAGAAGTGTTTTCATGTGAAAAGTGAGTTTCAACTTTGTAAGATGAAAAAGGTTTGGGAGAAGGATGAAGGTGGTGGATACAAAGAATGGAAATGCATTTAACACACTCAAAAATGGTAAAGATGGTACATTTTGTGTGATCTTTTCCACAATTTTTAAAATTAATTCTMAGCAGGTAACAGGAGTGAAGAGGAAGTTCKGGTGGAAAGAAGGAGGTTTTGTGCTGCACATAGATGGCAGGAGAAAACAGTGGGAGCACCCACAGAGAAGGAAGACTAAGGAAATAAACTCACCTGCGCCTCCAGAACCACAATGCAAGCCCCAGAAAAATGAGCGCACAGGGCACTATGATTGCCAAAATGACCAAGCCAACAGAGAGGGGGTGTCCTGTGAATGGGGAGAGAGCACAGGGGATAATGTCCCTTCAAGTCCCGCACATTCACCCCTTCCCTTCCCTTGCGTATCTCCACAGCCTTCATTCTCTAAAGTCCCTTTGTCCACTCTTCTCTCCTGCTCCCTGTCCCCAGCCCCCACACCAACCATTCTCTTTCCCCCTCAACCTTCCAATCGCTCCCTCTGTGCTTGAGCACCACCTCCCCCATCTGCACCCCTTTCTCACCCCAGTGGAGGACGAGGTCCTGCCCTCCTAGGCTGCTGTGCTTCACCCTGCAGGCCAGGCCAGCTGTGTCCCCAGATGCCACATCCAGGGTTGCTTGGAGATACCACGTCCCATCTGCATTGGGCAGGATGTCACCTCTCTGGGTGCCCAGCTGCTTCTGGTTACCTCGCATCCACATCACCCAYATGTGTTTGGGGTAGAAGCCAGAGACGTGGCACACCAGCAGCAGACGGTCAGGCCCAGGACTGGGACCACTGGACAGCCAGGCCTCAGGCTTCACTGGGACAGGAAAGGGAAGGAAGGAAGGGTGTCACATTATGACACTAACCCAGAGCMCAGGGACCCACACACCCATTTCTATCTCATTTGGAAATGAGAAGAGTGACCCATGAAGCCCCTCTTCTTCTCTGGGCACACCCCTACTCCTGGGCTGAAGAGGCAGGSACAGTGACACCCAGCAGSACCTACCTTGCCTCTGCAGGTCTGCCTTCCCTGCTTCCAGKAYGCTCAGGAGATATTGGGGGCAGGTTTCTAACAGCAGCTYCTCYACTGTTTCGCAGATACCTTTGTACTTCGTGATGAATGTGCAGAATTTCTGTGCCCTGAGGTCACCTTTTGGGGAGGGCCAAGCTGAMTTGAGGCTTATAAAATCCATTCCTTTTAAAGACCCCCTCAGGAAGCTCATGATGTTTTCCCCAGCGTGCAGCTCACAGCCTGCTAAGCCCTGGATCTCAAAAGGGTCTGTGCAGAAGGAAAACAGAAAAGTTACTGAGTAGCAAACATGAAAGAAAGGCATGTGGGGAGAACCCAGGATGTTAATTCCCTGGGAGGATAAAAATCTGGAAGGTGCCATGTGCAGCCTGAATAATTACAGCATGGAGAGACTTTCAGGAAGAAAGCACTGAGGGGAGGTATGGATACTGTGAACAGGGTATGAATCCGTGTATAGAGAGGGTATAGGAGAGGGGAGAGGCAGARGGTAAGGAAGAGTGTCCTGCAGTCACCAGCACAGCTTTCAAAGGAAACCAGAGCTTCAACATGGAGAGGAGAARGCTGAATGGATGGATAGGAAGAGGAGGCACACTTTATGTCTCTCAGGACAAAGAGGAAAGGAAGGAGCCAGTTTCACAGGAGACACACCTGGGGCTGGTCACAGAGCAGAGCATACCCATCAGACCAGGTGCACATGCAACAACATCTGGAGGTGTGGTGTCAGAGCCAGAGCGTACTCTAGAGAAGAGTGTGATTGCAGCTTAGTAAATAAGGCAGGAGGGGGAAGGACCTCAGGGAGCAGTGCCCTGGAGCAGGAGAGAATAAGTCAATAACAAYCTTTCAGGTCTGAGGGCTGCACTTACATTTCAACTTGAACTCACTGACATGATCCTGCACTTCACTGGTGAATACAGAGAAGTAACTGCGGAAGATCTCCTCCACCATCTGAATGGCCTCATCACTGAAGTTGCCCTTGGCCCAGGGCTTTAGGAAGATGGCAGTGCCTGTGTCACTATCCCAGCCAAAAACCTGCACATCGTCCAACCAGCCTGAGCAGTGGTTCTGTGTCCAGGTGCTGTTGACAAAGGATGAGATTTGGATGACATGGAATGAGGTCGGCCCCTGGGAGGCTGTGAAGAAAGGAAGGAAAGAGAGTGAAGAGAAAGGGAGAGGCAGGAAGGAAAGAGAAATCACGTGTACTGACATGCATCATACCTGACACACCTGAGATCCCARGACCTCAGGCTGCAGCCCCACCTCCAGCAGGTGGAACAGGGCTGGAGTCAGGAGGGGGCAGGACCTCAGAGTCCAGGTGCACCTGGGCAAGGCACCCTGCCTTCTATCAGAAACTCTGCGCCACTTTATGAGCTGCCCGAGCACTTCTTACCTTCCTGATTGTCACCACCTGGGAAGAAAATTGCTAGCAGTACAAGTAGCAGGACCAGCTTTGCACTGAGAGAGGACTCTTGACTTTCAGCTGATATTTGAACTCTCATTTCAGAAACTCTGTATGTCAGCACTCGGTAGTGACTTCCTCTCTTCCAACTGACAGATCTCTTCCTCATACCAAGTGCATAATGGAGAACTACAGTGCCTCCCACAGCCCTGGGGACTCCTACTCCACCTCCCATTTCCCCTGTACCCCTGACTCTAGATTTAGTCTCACCTCCAAAGTTTCTAGCTGCCCCTTAAGTCCTCAGGATCCTTGAGATGAAATCAGAAAAATCCCTATGTGATTCTGAAAGGTCCCTTCATCTCCCTAAGCCTTTATCTGTAAATTAAGGGAGTAACAATAGGCCATTTCTCAGCTGCCCCTGTGTTAGGAAGGGTCTTCCTGGTTGACCCAACCACTCTCCATTCCATGTGCCTGTATTCTCTGGTATTGTTGTTATTCCTTCCCAGGATTATTAGTGTCTCCTTTTTCTTGTGTCATCTCCCTTGTCTTGTTCCCCTAGTTCACATTCTTACTTCAATCTTGACCTCAACTTTGTCAAACTCTTTGAATTTCCCACTGTAACTGTAAAATCAGACAATCGACTGGAGTCCTGGGAGAAAAATCAATAGATGTAATCTAGATGACTAGAGAAAATGAAGAAAAATCTCACTCTTAGTTTACTTCCCCTATTTTATTTACCAACATAGAATACAAAGAAATGAACACAAAACCACTGATCTTGAAAGATTTCTTTCAGTTGAGTCAAGTAAAAATGTCATTAACGTCTATGATGGAAGTGGAAAGACGACAGGTGATACAGTATATAGAAACCCTGGACCAAAGCAAAACATAAAACACTGTGAGGCGAGGGAGGTTTTCTCTGTTACTCTGTCCTTAATGGTTTGTTGGTATTATTGTTTCCTTTTTGAACACTGGGAACTTCAGTGGTTGCTTTTGTTCTTTCTCTACAAGTGTATGTTACCCTATCCTCAGTCCTGGACCTGTACCTGAAGGCAGACAGACAAACACACTAGGTGTTGGAGGCAGAGCAGTAGCAAGGGAGAGGAGAAGGAAGAGAACATACTGAGAGAGAACTCATGTACCAAGAGGCTAAGTGCATTTGGAAGCCTTTGTTCTCTTGTATGCCACATCCTGTGTGTCGTCTTATGAGAAATGTTTGTTCAGACCATTTTCCCGGCTTTAATTGGATTATTGATGTTCTTGAATTTTCACGTTGGAATTTCATACATATTTTAGATATGAAGTCCCTTTCAGATGAACGGTTGGCAAATGTTTTCTCCTGCAGGATGTCTCTTCAAGTTATTTTCTTTGTTGTGTAGAAACTTCTTATTATGATAGAATCCTCTGTGTCAATTTTGGATTTTGTTGACTGAGCTTTTGGCTTCCCATGCAAAAAAATTATTGCCTGGACTAATGTCTTCATGGTTCCCCCCTCTATATTTGATTCTAGCTGTTTCATACTTTCAGGTATTATATCTAGGCTTTTGATGCATTTTGTGTGTTTCTTTTTATTAAGGTGTGAGATTTGAGTGAAGTTTTAATCTTCTATATATGGACCTCCATTTTCTCCAATACTGATTATCAAAGAGGTTGTCTTTTCTCAAGTGTGTGGTTTTGCTGCCTTTCATGAGACTCAGTTGACTGTAGATACACCTTTGTACTTCTGGGATCTCTATCCAACACATCTTGGTCGTGGCCCATGCAGGTGATGAATCTGGGTTTCCCTGCATGGAGTGGGCTGGCTGAGAAATATGGTGAAAAATCACACCACACAGAAAACTGTTTTAAAGAGCTGGGGCAGGATGGCTCTTCGACCTTAAGGGTTGAGCTTCCAGGCTGGAAAGAGAGAGCAAGAGCTGTGTTTGCTTTACTTTTATGGGGGAACTTCAAAGGTTGTCTACAGAATGTTCTTAGAAAATTAAGGTAGGAGTTGGGCTGTCCAGTTCCCAATGGGTCAGGCCCAGCTCCGGAGCTAGGAGATCAATCTTCCTACCCAGAGAAGACTGAAGTCACCTGCATTGCATAATCCATTCAGTAGGAGGGGTCACAAAATAGCTTGCAATGCCAGACCAAAATCTCCTCAGCTCAAGAGTGGCTTCCCACACCAACATACRGAGTATGTCCTTATTAAGATGACCTCTCTTAGATAAGTTCTCATTCTACTTTCAGTCCATTTGTCTGAAAAAAAATTGAGGGGCTTTAATGCATATGATCAAAGGATCATTTATATAAGAGGTTACATTAGGATTTGTTGTTTTAGATAGAATTCCATATCTGAGGATAATGCTAAATTGCCCAGACTTGGTTTAGAGAGAAATACAACTTGTTGGAAAGAGAAAAGGTTGTTAATGGCATTTTCCCCAGTGATCAACTGATCCACTTCTCTTAACATGTCCTATCATTTCCAAGGAATCTCTTTCACCAGGTCAGAACTCAGGGACAGTTACAAACCACAAACATTTTACTACAACATGAGTTAATTTCTACTTATTATCACTATAAAGAATAATAATAATAAATTCCCCACAATGGTTTGCCAGTCCTCTATTTTGCAACACTTGGGTCTATGTGCTTTACTTTCACAAGCCTGATCACAGATCAGACTGTCATGAGTTGTTCCAGACCCAGGGTTTGATGATCAGTTGTGTCTTTGTTGATTCTGCTGTGAGCCAGCTATGAGATCATTAGAACAAAGTCAGGGAAGAAGAGTGACAAATAAACCTACAGTCAAGATCACAGCAGTTTAAAAAGTTTTTATGTTTCATTCAATATTTTCAGGCACCCCAGTGTTCAGCTTACTCTTTATACTTCAGGTTCACTGTGTGAATAGGTTTTAAGAACCCAGAGTTAAGGTGTTGCACTTGGACGTGAGAGGCATTAGTATGAGTGCCTGCAAGGTCTGTGCACACTCAAGCAGAGTGACAAGCAAGAGGCACCAGGGACAGGCCCAGCGCTTGCCCGTCCAAGACACACTCACACCACTGTTGCTGCCACCATGCACATACCATCTAGGCTTTAAACTTGACTCAGGGAACCAACACATCTGCAAAGATGCGAACATGATATCAGCTAAAGAAACACTCGGCACTTTCTTTTCACGGATTACTACCTTCTGTTCCATGAGGACTCCTCTCTCCATGAATGACCCTTTTGCCAAACATAACCTGAGTAGGAAAAATATTTCAAAATTCACATTCTTAACTATCCTAATCAAGGGTGCCTAGGACACAGGGCCACACCAAACTTTTGCACTAATAAAATATCCTGTGAGAATAGAAATTAATAGGTAAAAATGGAACCCAGTTTTTTGAGTCCCCAATAAATAATATGTTGATAAATATCATAAAATACTGCCCCTAAAGCAAAGGAGATGATCATCTCCATTTATGTAGAAAGATCATTTAACAAAGTCACAAAGTTTATCTTGAAAGCAACTCTCTCAACAGTAAGACATAGAAAGGAATTTCCTCAACATAATAAAAGACAACTATGCAAATCTCACATAATGAATGTGGAAAAATTGAACACGTAACTCCAAGAAATCCACTACAAGACAAGGATGCCCCCACCTACCACTTCTATTGAGCATATCACTAGAAATCCTAGCAAAACCAATCAGGCAAAAAAAAAAAAAAAAAAAAAAAGAAAGAAAAGAAAAGAAATAAAAACACCTATTTGAAGGGAAAGGCTAAAATCATCACTGCTTTAACATGTGATCCTGTAGATAGAGGATCTCAAACATGTATAACAAATAAATGAATTCAGTGAAACTGCAGAATACAAAGCATAGAAAAAAATGAGCATTTCTATATACAAACAACAGTCTACACACAAAAAAAATGAAAAAATAAAATCTCATGTATCATAGTATTAAAACTAAAATATTTAGGAAAAAATTTAAACAGCATGTAAATGATATGTATGCTAAATACCATGAACGTTAACTAAGTAAAGAGGACTCAAGCAAATGGAAAGATATCCCTTGCTCATGGATTTAAAAATATTGTTCAAACTTCAATATTACGCAAAGTGATCTACAGATTCTAATTAATACCTATCAAGCAAATGACCTAGAATAGGCWAAAACAAACAATTGTGCAGAAAAAAATAGAGCCATCACCCCACCTGATTTTAAATGTTTGAGGAGATGGATATGTTTCACCTGATTATACCATGTTTGTATGCATTGAAACGTCACACGGTACTCCATTTTATGTAAAACATTTCTATTTTTAATGTATCAGTGAAAAAATGAATATAATTTAAATGAATAAATAAAGTAATATGGCAAAGCTCCATAATAATTGAAAGTGCAATTAGTATAAAAAAGGCACACACCAGAGGGACAGAATGAGGAGCCCAGAAATGAACTCAAACATATTTGTTAAACTAATTTTCAGCATGAGTGTCAAGACTATGTAATGGGGAAATGATAGTCTCTTTAATAAATGGTACTGAAAAAACTGCATTTTCACAGGCACAATAGTTAACTGGACACATATTTCACCATACACTAAAGTCAATTCTAAATTGATTAAAGATGTAATGCCTACAACCATGAAATTCTTAGAAGAAAAGATAAGGGAATTTGTGAATATCACCCCCAAAACTCAATTTCCAAGAGCAAAGATAAATGAACAAAACTATACAAACTCACAGAACTACAGAAACACCAATATCCAGACTTAAAAATGGACAAAGACATGAATGATATTTTTTTTCAAAGAGGACATAGAAATGGCCAGTAGATGTTTGAAAAGATGACCCCAAATCACTAGTCATCAGGGAAGTGAAAAATTGAAACTACAAGGAGACAGCACCTCATAACTTTTAGAGGGGATATTACCAGAAAGACAAGGGACAGTAAGCATTATTGAAGGTGTGCATAAATGAGAAGCCCTGTGTATGGCTGGCAGGAATATCTCTTGGTGCAGCCATTATGGAATGCAGTATGAGGTTCCTAGATAAATTTAAAAGAGAATTGGCATAGGACCAGCTTCCAACTATATACCTAAAGGAGATGAAATCAGTATCTTATAAAGTTATCTGCAGTCTCATATTCATTGCACAATTATTGACAGTAGCCAAGATACAGAAATAACAAAACAA